ACCATCGCTCCATCGATGACCTAAAGCTAGTTTTCTGGCTGCTCCACTTGAATTCACTCTGGAATTTAATTACGCATTAGCTGACCCTCGGCTCTTTCTGACTGAAGAAGACTAAATCCTCCCGGATTCTTCCTGGGAAGAGGACTCTGAGGTCTGGGAAGGCCCTGGGAAGAGCCCCATTATTCTCAACCCAATGCTGAGAGAGGGAGAACAGAAGAGTTGCTGGGAGCTACCTCTCCCTGTCGTGTGGGCATCGGGTGCCCGCCTTGTGGTACGCTTCATCCTGGTCAACCCCCCTCCACTTACTTTGCACCTGCAGGAAAGCTCGGGCCACATGCTGCCCGACGCTGTTTCGCACTCGGCATAGGTACTGGGACTCGTCGGCAGGCTCAACTGCAGGGAAGCGCAGGATCCCGCCCTGGATCATGGCCTTGGGGGGGATCACGCCCCCGGGTCCTCCTGCAGCAGAGAGAAAAGCTTCCCAGTTGTTTGAAGGGTGGGGGGGCTTGCTATTTTGGGGGGAGAGGATGCTGGGCCCCCGCGTTCTGCCCTGCCCACAAAATTGAGTCCTGGAACAGCCGGGTGAAAACGCCACCGGCCAAGCTAGACACGGAAATGCATCCGTTGGAACAGGGGTCTTCAAACTCGGCCACTTTTAAGACGTGTGGACTTCAACTCCCAGAATTCCTCAGCCAGCCCTGAGGAATTCTGGGAATTGAAGTCCACAAGTCTTAAAGTTGCCAAGTTGACGAAAATTTCTGCTTATTTGAAGGACCATTCACAAGAAAGATATATTTTGGTTTGGAGAAGATGGATAGACTATATTCAAAATAAATATGGGAATAAAAAGTTTCATTTACTTTTTGAATAATGAGTATTATTATTATTATTATCAATAGTTTATTAAAGTGGAATTTTTATTATATCGTATTGTTTAAGAATTTGGATATTAATTTGTTTATGTATTATGCTTATTTAGAATTTGTTTATTTTATGTTAAAAGGGAGTTAAAGTGTATTATGGATTTGGTTTTTATATAGTTGGTTAATGTTATTTAGATTATGACTGTCATATTTGTAACCCTGTATTCAGCTCTGGGAAGTGTGGGAGGGGGAGGGGGTGGGGGGGGGGTTTGGGGTTGTTTTGTTGTAAACTTTTGTAAAACTTTTTAATTTAATAAAAAAGTTGTCAAGACCCCGGCTTTAAAAGGACCCCCTCTGAGCAGAGCAGAAAGGCGCTAAATCAACCGCTCTCCTTTTGAACCACGAATCTTATTCCACTTGCATTTTGTATCTGTAACTTGTATTTAAGTTACAGCTCAAGCAGGGGTCCCCCACCCCCTGGGCTGCAGCCCACTAGCGGGCCTTGAGCTGTTCGGAACTGGGCCACGGAAGCGGTAGGCGAGCGTGTTTGCACACGCATCCCCCCTTGTGGCGATAAGCGGGCAAGCCCTTGCACCGTTGCTCCATTTGCGCACGTGTGTGCCCGCCGTTCGGGCAAATGGAGCTGCGCGTGCGCTTGCCCACCCATCCACCCACTCACACAAACCACCCCCCCTCCCTCAATGGTCCGCAAAGCCAGAAAGATTGAAGAACTCTTGAGTATCTCACTATAGAACCGTTACGGGGGAATAATCTGTTTTTGGCTATTCATTTGGACTGTAAGTGGAACGGCCAGCAGGACGAGGCAAGCCGTGGAGACGGGTGCCAGCCGCTGAATTTCACCCCTTTATAGGGGTCACCGAGAACGCTTTGCCAATGAGAACGCTTTGCCTGGACTGGAGAAGGTGGGGGAAACTAAATTTAAGACATTTGGAAACTAATAGAAAATAATAATGTTATACTGTATTATTAACTAGTTGATGTGAGACGGTGAGAAATAGAACATATTTAAGTAGATAAGATGTGTATTCTAATAATAATAATAATAATAATAATAATAATACCATCAAACATCCACATCTGCCTATCCCAGGTCCTGGGTAAGGACTCGATAGGTAGACAAAATGCCAAATCCAGTCTGAACATCTGGCTGACTGTGCGATGATCAATCAAATAATAATAAAATTGGAAGGGACCTTGGAGGTCATCTAGTCCAACCCCCTGCTTTGGAAATTATAAATATTAAATGTTAAACTTAAATGTTGATGGGAAACTAAAAACTGGGAAAAACTAATTAGGACGTCGATTGCCTGTAAAGATGGGATGTTAAAATAATCGGGATATGCATGAAGTAAAAAATTATTGATAAATGTAAGAAAGTCGTTTCTATTTAATTGATAATAATAAGAATTGTATTAGTTTAAATGCGAGACAGTAAATGCTAATGGGAAAAAGAGAGGAAAGACTGAATGTAATAGTTTGAGACTTGTATTACAAGATATTGGTGTGTAATTGAATGACCGATCAACTCAGCCGCCACGTTGCTTTTTAAATATTTAAGTGTAAAACTAGAAAATCAATAAAACTTAAAAAAAAAAAAAGTTTTATATGTGCACCATCGGAGCGTCCTCTCCTTCACCCCATCGTCCAGGCTGGATTCTCTTTGCAAGCGATGAGGCCCTCAGCAGCCAGCAGAGGGAGCACACACAGAGAGACCTGCTTGCTGTGTGTGTGTGTGTGTGTGTGTGTGTGTATATATATATAAATAAATAAATAAATAAATAAATAAATAAATAAAAAAGTGGATCTCAGGTCAAGTCTGATCCCTGTCCCTGTTGGTGTGCAGTCTTGGCACAGAAGCTGTTTCTCACAGCACGGCTTGGGGACATGGCCGAGCCCAGTTGAGTGTCGGGGCCTCTGAAGGTCACCCATCCGGTCCTGCCAAGCCAAGCTGAGGTCCGCCAGAACGGCTGGCCTGGGGGGGGGGGATGTCTTTCAGAGCAATGCAGGGCTTACCGATCCACTCTAGGGTGGGCTCGGGGCTTCCCGTCACGAAGCAGCGGAACTCGGCCGGTCGGCCCGGCTGGACGCTCAGCTGGGAGGGTTCGACGGTGGCCGTGGGCTGGACAGCAGCGGTGGCTGCAGAAGGAAGCAGGTTGAGCTTGGTCAGAGATGGGGGGGGGAGAGCAGGTGCACACAAGGATTCCCAGAGCCAGAGCTGAAATCCTTGGCAAGGCCCGAGATCTCGGCCGGAAGAACAGGCCGACCACACCGCGCGCATGCAGGCAAAAGATGCGAGGCATGCACCGACAGAAACACGGCCAGAAGAACAGAGCCTGGGGCAGGGGGGGGGGGAAAGGACAGAGGCAATGGGAGAGTCTCTGCCTGCCTCCCCCTCCCTGCCTTGTTGGCCTGTGGGTGAAAAGAGCAAGTCAGCATCCCAGAGAATGGTGGTGGTGGAGGAGGATGGAGGAGGAGAGGGACGGGGAGGAGGGGGAAGAGGAGGAGGAAGAGGACTACGATGGCCTTGGGGTCCTAGCTGCTCTCTGAACACGACTGTTTTCTTGCAGACATTTCACAACCCATCTGGGGACCATCATCAATGCTAGAAGGGAGTGGGGCTTTCTGAAGGAGAGGGAGGAGGAGGAGGGAGAAGGGAGGAGAAGAGGGGAGGGAGGGAGGGAGGGAGGGAGGAAGAGGAGGAGGAGGACTACAATGATCTTGGGGTCCTAGATAATCTCTGAACATAGTTGTTTTCTTGCAGACATCTCATGACCCATCTAGGTACCATCATCAATCTAGAAGGGAGTGGGGTTTTCTGAAGGAGAGGGAGAGAGAGGAGGAGGAGGAGGAGGAGGAGGAAGAGGAGGAGGAGCGAGAAGGGAGGAGGGGAGGGAGGGAAGGAGGGAGGGAGGAGGAGGGAGGGAGGGAGAAGAGGGGAGGGAGGGAGGAGAAGAGGGGAGGGAAGGAGGGAGGAAGAGGAGGAGGACTACGATGACCTTGGGGTCCTAGGTACTTTCTGAACACGGTTGTTTTCTTGCGGACATCTCACGACCCATCTAGGTACCATCATCAATGCTAGAAGGGAGTGGGGCCTTCTGAAGGAGAGGGAGGAGGAGGAGGGAGAAGGGAGGAGAAGAGGGGAGGGAGGGAGGAAGAGGAGGAGCACTACGATGATCTTGGGGTCTTAGATCTCTCTGAACACAGTTGTTTTCTTGCAGACATCTCACGACCCATCTAGGTACCATCATCAATGCTAGAAGGGAGTGGGGTTTTCTGAAGAAGAGGGAGAGAGAGGAGGAGGAGGAGGAAGAGGGAGGAGGAGGGGAGGGAGGACGAGGAGGAAGAGGAGGAGGGAGAAGGAGAGGAGGGAGAGGAGGAGGAGGGAGAAGGGAGGAGGGAGGAGAAGACAGCAGGGAGGGAGAGAGGGAGGAGGAAGGGGAGGGAAGGAGGGAGAAGAGGGGAGGGAGGGAGGGAGGAAGGGAGGAGAAGGGGAGGGAGGGAGGGAGGGAGGGAGGAGGAAGGGGAGGGAAGGAGGGAGAAGAGGGGAGGGAGGGAGGGAGGAAGGGAGGAGAAGGGGAGGGAGGGAGGGAGGGAGGACTACGATGATCTTGGGGTCCTAGATCTCTCTGAACACAGTTGTTTTCTTGCAGACATCTCACGACCCATCTAGGTACCATCATCAATGCTAGAAGGGAGTGGGGTTTTCTGAAGGAGGAGGAGGAGGAGGAGGAGGAGGAGAAAGGCCAAACAGCCAACAAGGAAAGTGGAGTTCCAGTGGGGGGTGGGCAGGCACCTGCAGGCCAAACCGACTTACAGGGTCTGTGGCCTTCCACCATTTCTACGGGACCATAGAACATCTGAGTCTTCGATGGAGCTGAAAACAGGGTTGGGGGAGAGGGAGGGGGGTGTGGGTGAAAAGGTGGCCGCGTGACGAGCTGCCTCAAGCAGGAGCCTGGCGGGTCCAGGGGCCGTCTTCAAAGACCAGCCTCCCATCCCCAGAAGCTTCTTTCTCCATTCCCCAATCCCCCTGCCCCCCTTCTCCACTCGGTGGATGAGAGCAGAAGCGTGTCTTTGCGTGAGCCTGCGTGGAAGCCGCTGGTCCCGGGGTGGGGGGGGGGTAGCCCGGTCAGTCCCCGGTCAGTCCCGAAGCCCCACCTTGCACGTAGAGGGTGGCCGTCCCCTCGTCCATGTCAAACATGTTGGAGCCCGTGCAGACGTAGATGCCGGCATCCTCCGGCTGCACGTTGCGTATGGTCAGGATGCCGTTGAAGTCCATGGCGCGGCTGGGCAGCTTCCTGTTGTTCTGCCGGGTCCACACCAGCGTGTAAGCGGGAGACTGCAGGAGGAGCAGGAGACGGGAGGGTGAGAGAAGGGGAGAGGAAAAGCAGTGGCAACAGCAGTCGCACTTAAAGACTTACATACCGCTTCACAGTGCTTTGCAGCCCTAAGTAGTTTACAGGGTCAGGCCTGTTGCCCCCCCCCCAACAATCTGGGTCCTCATTTTACCCACCTCGAAAGGATGGGAGGCTGAGTCAACCTTGACCCGGTCAGGATTGAACTGCTGGCTGTGGGCAGAGTTTGCCTGCAATACTGTAACACAGTACCACCACAGCTTCCTTCCTTGCTTCTCTTTATTTCCCTTCCTTCCTTCCTTCCTTCCTTCCTTCCTTCCTTCCTTCCTTCCTTCCTTCCTTCCTTCCTTCCCAAGTAATAAGACTTATATACCACTTCACAGTGCTTTGCAGCCCCCTCTAAGCGGTTTAAAGAGTCGGCCTCTTGCCTCCCAACAATCTGGGTCCTCATTTTACCGTCCTCGAAAGGATGGAAGGCTGAGTCAACCTGGAGCCGGTCAGGATCGAACTGCTGGCAGTGGGCAGAATTTGCCTGCAATGCTGCATGCTAACCACCGCACCACCACAGCTCTTAATGCAATATCCGATCAGCTACAGCAATAGCCCTTAGACTTATACACCGCTTCACAGGGCTTTACAGCTCCCTCTAAGCAATTTAGAGAGTCAGCCTCTTGCCCCCCCCCAACAATCTGGGTCCTCATTTGACCGACCTCGGAAGGACAGAAGGCCGAGTTGACCGTGAGCCGCTGAGACTCGAACTGCCAAACTGCTGGCAGCCGGCAGTCAGCAGAAGCAGCCTGCAGTGCTGCATTCTAACCGCTGCGCCACTCGGGCTCTTAAAGGGTCCAAATTCAACCCCCCTGCCCGATTCGGAAAGGGGAGGCGGCGTCCGCAGCTGAAAAACTGGACATCTAGGGGGAGTCTTGGCACGCTGAGCTGAGAGAGACCGCCATCGTGGTCTTCAAGTTCCTCCTAGATGCTGCTGCGGCTCTGCCAGTCTGGACAGGCCCCCTCGGAGCTGACCAGCCCGGCTGTACTTCTGCCTGCTCACCCACAAAATAAACGAGCCCCCCCCCCCACGAAGACTTACTTTGCTCCTGGCCGTGCAGAGAAAGGTGACGTCGCTGCCGGCCTTCACGTTCTGCAGCTTCTGCTCTTCCACCGTCACGGAGATGGCCTTGCTGGGGCCTTCTGTGCTGGCCGAGAGAAGCTGGTCAGCCTTGACCGGCTGGCCCTGACCTGGCTCTCTTTCACCAGGCCCTCGCCAGCTCTGGGAAGGGGGGGGTCCCCTCGTGCGCTTCCCTCTGCCCAGCAGCCCAGCTTGTGGGTGGCCAGCGAAAAGCTCCCCCCTCACCTGTGACGATCACCTCGCTGCGGCTGGAGTTGGTGAACTGGGGGTTCCGGCAGGTGCAGATGTAGACGCCGGCCTCCGAGGGCTGGACGCTGGCGAAGTGCAACACCATCCCTGCGGGGGATCCAGGAAGGGCAGGGTCAGAAGCCAGACGGCTGCTTGGTCCAGGGAATAGACTGCCGTTTGCCCCTACTGCCTTGTCTACTCTGTCGGAATCATGAGAACTAGAACCTTCGCTTCGTTTTAAGGCTAGGGCTTCGGGCGCCTGCTTTTCCTGCGAAAGGCCCCAGCTGAGACCCTGGTCTCTCTAGGGAAGCTTCTCACTTCAGACCTGCTGCTTGGTCCACGGAATAGGCTGCCATTTGCCCTCACCTCCTTTTCTACTCTGTCGGAATCATGAGAACTAGAACCTTTGCTTTGTTTCAAGGCTAGGGCACCGGGCTCAAGGGATCCTCCCTGGCCGAGCGCCGTTTGGCGGCAAAAACACGACTCTCCCTTGGCGAGTTGCCTCTCCCCACCCGGGGCACCCCTCCCATTCTGGGTCTCCCCAGCCCAGTTTGCCCCCCCCCCCAGTTTGCAATCTGCCCAGTTGGGGGATGGCGCGGGCTCACCTTGCTCCCTGAGCTGGACGGCGCTTGGCACGGGGCGCCCGTCTTCCCGGGACCAGTAAAAGAAGTGGGGCGGGTCCCCTCTGACCAGGCAACGCAGGGTCACTTCGCTCCCCTGGGACACGGCCGTGCGGGAGGGATGGACTTCGATGACCAGGCGGGGCTGGTCGGGGGGTCCTGAGGAGGAGCCGGGGGGGGCAAAGGGAGAGGCCGAGGTGAGGGGGCAGCTCAGCTCCCCCACCCCCAGTTGGGAGCCCCTCTCAGTACGACGACAGCCCCACTGCTAGCAAGCGCCCCTTTGCTCACCCAGCGGAAGACACTTCTGCCCACGGATGTTGGGGTTGCCCGTGTAACCGGAGGCGCATCTGGGGGGAGAAGCAGAGATCCGTCAGGGGGCTCCCCGGGGCTGCTGCCCCCTCCCAGCTCAGCCCTTCTGGGGAGAGACCCACTCACTGTTCGCAGTACTGGCCGGTGTAACCGGGTTCGCAGGCGGTGCAGTGGTAGCCGCCCCCCTCCAGGCTCTCGCACGTCCGTGAGAATCTGCCCAAAGGAAAGAGGTCGCATCCTGAGCTCTGGCCGAGAGGGTCCCCCGCCCCCGCCTCCCTCCCCCAGAGGGCGGGTGGCGTACTGGTTCTCGGGATCCGGCAATGGGCAAGCGCAGGGCTGGCAGTCCTCGGGGGTCCCGGCGGTGGCATCTCCGTAGTAGCCAGGGGAGCACCGTTCGCAGAACTCCCCGGCCGCATGGTGCAGGCAGTGCTGTGGAGGGAAGGAAGGAAGAAAGGAAGGGAGGCAGGGAGGGAGGGAGGAAAGAGAGGTAGGGAGGAAGGAAGGGAGGGAGGGAGGGTGGGGGAAGAGAGGAAAAAGAGAGAAGGAAGGGAGAGAGGGAGGGAGGGAAGGAGAGGGAGGGAGGGGAGGAAGGAAGGGAAGAAGGGAGGGAGGAGGAAGAGAGGAAAGAGAGAGGGAAGGAAGGAAGGAAGGAAGGAAGGAAGGGAGAGAGGGAGGGAGGGGAGGAAGGAAGGGAGGGAGGGAGAAGAGAGGAAAGAGAGAGAGAAGGAAGGAAGGAAGGAAGGGAGAGAGAGAGGGAGGGAGGAAAGAGAGAGAGAAGGAAGGGAGAGAGAGAGGGAGGGAGGAAAGAGAGGGAGGGAGGGGAGGAAGGAAGGGAGGGAGGGAGGGAGGGAGGGAGGGGGAAGAGAGGAAAGAGAGAAAAGGAAGGAAGAAAGAAAGGGAGGGAGGGAGGAGAGAGGAAAGAGAGAGAGAAGGAAGGAAGGAAGGAAGGAAGAGAGGGGGAGGGGGGAAGGAGAGAGGAAAGAGAGAGAGGAAGGAAGGAAGGAAGGAAGGGAGAGGGAGGGAGGGAAGGAGAGAGAAGGAAGGAAGGAACGGAGGGAAGGAAAGAAGGGAGAGAGGGAGGGAGGGAAGGAGAGAGAAGGAAGGAAGGAACGGAGGGAGGGAAGAGAGGTAGGGAGGGAAGGGAGGGAGGGAGGGGGAGAGAGCAAAGAGAGATAGAGAAGGATGGAAGGGAGGGAGGGAGGGAGGGAGGGAGGAAAGGAAGGAGAGGGAAGAAGAGGGAAGGAAAGAAGGAAGGGAGGGAGGGAAGGAAGGATGGTCGTTGTGGGAAAGAAGGGGAAACAGAAACCCAGAGGAAAAAAGGGGACTTAAGAAGGCCACACTGGGAAGCCATCCCACCCGCAAGTTTCCACTGCTCCTTTTTCCAAAATAAAACGCCCGTTAAAGAAAAGGTCCCGTTTGATCAAATTAATGAAGAACAGGATCAATGGAGGGGATAATTCAAAGCAGGCCATTTCATCAGTGCAAAGGCATCCCCACGCCCAGTTGCCTGAGTCGTTCCCCCCCCCTCCAGCCCCCCCCAGACTCTTCTCTCGGCTGCCAGATTCCATGCAAGATTTTGTGCCGGGGCTCCCAAACTTGTCTATACCCGGCACCCCTAAAACGCTTCTGATAAATTCTCGCACCCCTTACAAAAAAGTTCAAAATAACGGCGACAAATTCTGCACACGCACAGTAATTTTGAAAAGTTTTGCGTACCCCCTGGAATCTCCTCTTGCACCCCCAGGTGGGACCCGGATTCAGGGCTTTGAACAGCCCAGCTGAAGCCCCTCTCAAAGGGGCCCTGGGGTCTCCCTGGGAGGGAAGGGCTGCCCTTTTGGGCAGGGCCCTTGCTTGGCACCTGGAGGGCTCCAGTTCAGGGTCTTCTGATCGGACCGAGAAGCCCCTTCCTCCCAGCCCCCTCCCCAGGAAAAGAACTTATTCTGGCTCATCCCGCTTTGCTTTTGTCCTTGGAGAAGCTCAGAGAAGGGGCAAAGCCCCCCAGAAGCTCAGGGGGAGGGAGGGAGGGAGGGCAGCAACCTGGAAGGGGTCTCACCGAGCAGGTGCCAGTCTCAGGGTGGCAGGACTCCGAGTGCCCGTTGCATTCGCACAGCGTGCAGTGGCCCAGGTACAGCCCTCCGCCAGTGCGGGTGTAGCCGGCCTCGCAGTCCTGCGGGAGAGAAGGCAGGAAGTGGGGTGGGTGGGGGGTTTCAGTGTCTCCTCTGAGGCCCCCAGCTCCCACCGGGCCCAGCCGGTCAGCTCACCTGGCATGAGAGGCCCTGGTACCCGGGCGGGCAGCGGCACTCCTCCACTTCCAAAGCCCGGGGCAGGCTGGTGTAAGTGGGCACGGCTGTCTCCATGCTGACGCCTGCGATGCCGGCCGAACGCATGTCCGTGGAGTGCGTGGCGCGGATGAGGATTTCAGCCAGGTCGGCCAGGGCCATCAGCAGGTGCTCCCGCGTGGCAGGTTGCCCATCTGGGCGCTTCCACAATTGCTAGGGAGAGAAAAGAGGGCAATGGGGAGGCTAGTTGAGTGCGGAAAGGCGCAGGGGAGTGATAAGCCGCACAAGTTGCTTCCGCAGCTCAGCCTAGAGGCAACGAGAGACGGCCTGGGGTGCAGTGGGGTGCAGGAATGTCTGCCTGCTCCCTCCCTCCCCACCGTGACTCCCCGTGGCCTCACCTCTCTGAAGACCACGTCAAAGCTCTTGTGCTCGTCAGGCTGCAGCTCGGACAGGTAGGCCACCAAGGTGATGTCGTTGCCCTGAAGGAGAGGAAGAGCAACGGGGGGGGGAGCCTTCCATAGCAGCTGGGAGGGTCCCCAAGCGGCATCCCATTTGCCCCAGCCTCCCCCCCCCACCTCCTAGGGCAGGAGTGTCAAACTGCCAGCCCGCGGGCCGAACGCATCACATGGAAGCCATGCCCACCCCACTGCCGGCAATAGCAAAACAGTCCCGATACATCGCGCGACATCACGTGACGTCGCGAGTTTGACATGTCTGTCCTAGAGAGAGGCCATCTGCCAGTCCAGCTTCCTTCCCCCAAGATGGGAAAGGAAGTCACAAAGCTCCAAGTCCAGCAAGGTAAAAGGGGGAAGCCTGTGGGAGGGGCTCCCGCGATCCAGACAGGGCATCCCCTTCCAAGACTTACGGTAATCTGCACATCCGCATCAGGCAGTGGGGTGCCTCTCCCTCCGGCCGAGTAGGCAAGGGTGTAGCGGAGGCGTCCCCCGTAGGAGCCCACCTGCAAAGGGGAGAGGGCAAAGCCGTGGCTTGGTCACTCGTCCCCCTGGCCAGGGACGAGAGAGGTGGAAGCTGGCATCAAGGTGTGGCGTATAGGCTACCGGCACCCCTTCATGTGCCTTAGGGGGGATTCTTGTCCAGGCACACCGAGTAGGCGCAATCAGCAAACCAAGATAGGATTTCTTTCCGCGCGGTTAGTCCACGAGGCTAAACAACGAATCCTGGAGAAGAGGCGCCCTTTCTAAACCATTCGCCCCCCCCCCAATATTAATTCACACAAACGCACAAACGATTATCGGACACCGCTTCATGCGCTGGGAAAATCAAGCCGAGAGCTGGGCTGGCGTTCTCCGGTTTATCCAACAGAGGTGCAACGCAAGAAGTCTCCGTGCAATACAGGCGGTCCTCGACTTACGACCAAAACGGAGCCCCGCCATTCTGGCGCTAAGCGGGACATCTGGTGAAGCGAGTCTTGCCCCATTCTCACGGCCTTCCTTTCCCCCACGGGTTAAGGGGATCACTGCGGCGGTTAAGTTGGCCACACGGTTCTTGAGTAAATCCGGCTTCCCCCGTCGGAAGGTCGCAAAAGGGGATTGCGTGACCCCGTCATAACTGTGAGACGGTTGTCAGCAATCTGATCACCCGACCGTGGGGGATGCTGCAACGGTCGCAAGTGTGAAAAATGGTCCTAAGTTCATTATTTTTTTGGGTGATGTTGCGACTTGGAACGGTCACTAAATGAACTGTCGTAAGTTGAGGAGGGCCTGCGATGACCATGCGGGGTGGGTCATGACGAGAGAGGCCACCCCATGCTGGGTCCCAGCCTCACCACCTGGGAAGGAGGGTTACCTGGTTCCCCAGGAAAGGCCTGGGCAGCTCCCAGTAGAAAGTGGCTTTGGGAAGCTGGCGGAGCCCCCGATAGAGCAGCCAGCGCTGGGAGAGAAGAGGGGATCCTGTTGCAGGGCAGGCCGACACAACTCCCGCAACACACAGCGCAGGGCTCCCCCTCTCCCGCAGCCCAGCCCACCAAAGAGCACACCTCCACTTTCTCTCTCTCTCTCACACACACACACACACTCCCCCAAGAAAAGGGGCTCTGGAAATTCAAGGCGGAACAAAGCACACCAGCCCTTGGAATGGAAAGCAGCCCATCCCCTCCCTCCCATCTCTTTTCTCCTTCCTTCCTTCCTTCCTCCCTTCCATCTCTTTTCTTTTTCTTTCTTTCTCTTTCTTCCTTCCTCCCTTCCTTCCATTCTCCCTTCCTTCTATTCCTCTTCCTTCTTTCCATTTCCCTCGCCACTCTCCTTCCCTTTCTTCCTTCCTTCTTTCCTTCCTCCCTTCCTTTCTCCTTCCCCCTTCCTATCCTTCTTTTGCTTTTTCTTTCCTTCCCTCACTTCTCCTTCATTCCTTCCTTTCTTCCTCCTCCCTCCCTCCTTCCTATCCTTCTTTCTTCACTTCTTTCCTTCTTTCTTTGCTCCTTCCCTCCCTCCCTCCTTTGCTCCTTCCTTCCTATCCTTCTTTCTTTGCTTCTTCTTTCCTTCCTTCCTTCCTTCTCTTCTTTGCTTCCTCCCTTGCTCCTTCCTTCCTCACTTCTCCTTCCTTCTTTCCTCCTTCCCTCCTTCCTTATCCTTCTTTCTTCACTTCTTCTTCCTTCCTTCTTTGCTTCCTCCCTTGCTCCTTCCTTCCTCCCTCCCTCCTTCCTCCCTCTGCTCCATCCTTCCTATCTTTTCTTCGCTCCTTCCTTCCTTCCTTCCTTCCTTCCTTCCTTCCTTCCTTTCCTTCCTTCCTTCCTTCCTTCCTTCCTTCCTTCTTTACTTTCTCCCTTGCTCCTTCCTTCCTCGCTCCTTCCTTCCTACCCACTCATCCTCCAGCCCATACAGAAAGGGCTCCTGGGCAGCCAAGCGTTGGATGTTTCAACATCCACTTGCCCAAAGCCCTGCCTGCCTGGTCCCTGGGAGGCCACCTGAAGCACCTCCAGCTCATGCAGGGGTACCTTTGGGGCCTCAGCCCCCCAGTGCCGGTTCTGGGAAGCAAAAATCAGGTGCTTGTTGGCATCAACAGACTGTCCTTTGGGAAGGCCACCTCCCTGGACTCCAGGACAGAGGAGGGGCAGCCCCACGCAGAGAGAAGGAAGGAAGGAAGGAAGGAAGGAAGGAAGGAAGGAAGGAAGGAAATAAGGGAGAAAGAGGGAGAGAGGAAGAGATGTTTTCAGCCACTCAGGTTGGCAATTCAGCGAAAAGGAAAGGCAGGAGGGGCCTGGGGTCAACTGCCACAGAGGGGCTTGGGGAAAGAGGGGCTGCCAGCCCCTTCCAGCCAGACAGGTGCAGAGGTTGAGGCAGAAGAGGTGTACCTGGGGGACTGAGCCGGGAGGGGCGGCCAGAGAAGGAGGGAGCAGAGAAGACCTGCCTGGGGGAGCAGCCGAGCGAGGAGGAGGAAGGGGGCCTCTGCGGGCCACAGGGGGCCTCCGCAGTTTGGCGGGTGGGGAGGACGTGGGGGAGCTGCCTTCTGCTGCAATACGGGAAAGCATCTCCCAGATATCAGCATCCTGTCTCAGCTGGATTTCCTGGGCCTGAGGGTAAGTAGAGAAAAAAGGGAAAGAGGGAGGGAGGGAGGGAAAGAGAGAAAGAGAAGGGAAGGGAAGGGGAGAGGAATGAAGATGAGACAAGAGGAATGGAGAGGAGAGAGAGAAGAGGAGAGGAGAAGAGAGGAGAGGAATGAAGGAGAGAGAGAGGAGAGGAATGGAGAGGAGAGAAAGGAGAGAGAGAGGAGAGAAGAGAGCAGACAGAGGAGAGGAGAGAGGATGGAGAGGAGAAAGACGAGAGAAGAGAGAGAAGACAGGAGAAGAGGAGAGAGGAGAGGAGAGGGGAGAGGAGAGAGAGAGGAGAGAGGATGGAGAGGAGAAAGAGGAGAGAAGAGAGAGAAGACAGGAGAAGAGGAGAGAGGAGAGGGGAGAGGAGAGAGAGAGGAGAGAGAGGAGAGGAGAGAGGAGAGGATGGAGAAGAGAAAGAGGAGAGAAGAGAGAAGAGAGGAGAGGGGAGAGAGAGGGAGAGGGAGGAGAGAGGAGAGAGAGGAGAGGAATGGAGAGAGGAGAGAGGGAGGAGAGGAGAAGAGAGGAGAGAGAGGAGAGAGGAGAGGAATGGAGAGGAGAGAAGAGAGAGAAGAGAGGAGAGGAGAGGAGAGGGAGGAATGGAGAGAAGAGGAAAGGAGAAGAGAGGAGAAGAGCCGAGAGCGGCAATCTTCCATAGTTCTCCAGGCTCTTTCCAAATCCGCAAGAGCCGACACGCTCATGCCTGACTCCCCATTGCCCAGGGGTGCCTCGCCTCGTCCACAGCACACCCCGGAGCCGGAGAGACTCTGCAGCTCTTCCCAGCCCCCTGGGGTCCGTTACCTGAGCAGCTCGCCTGCCCCTGCTCTGGAGGGCCGGAGGGCCGGGGATCCACCCCGCGGCCACCTCCTTCCTCAGCTGCTGCTCCGAGAGGGACGTGGAGTTCTGCCAGGAGGGAGGGAGGGGGAAGGCAGGCTGGTGAGGCCTGTGCCGGCTCCCCTTCCAAAGCCGTAAGCCCCAAAGGTCTCCCCTTGTCCCTGGGGAATGCAAGAACGCAACTGCGATGGGCAGGGCAAGCCACAAACAAGGGGAGCCGCCAGACGAGGACGGACGGACTCAGAGAGCTGGGAAAGCACAGCCCCACTGACAGCTCCCCCCAGGATCTCAGCCCCACGTGCACCCTGGTTTTCTGCCCCCGTCCTTCTTCCCCCGCAGGGACACAAATCTGGAAAGACGTGGTGCCAAAAGGATAGGAGACGTGTCTGATTCCCCGCCCCACGCCAGAGAGGTCAGGAGCTGCCCCACACTCTCTGGGGCCCCTTGGATGGGCCTGGGCTAGCGTACCTTGTGGGCACGACGCATCCGGGCATAATAGGTCTCCCCCTGGCAAGCGGGTCAGGCAGAAAAGAAGGAACAAGAAGCAGGAAAGAGAAACAGAAAAGTAAAACAGAGAGAGAGCTGCCCGCGGCCTTCCCACAGACAGGGGCCTCGGTGCTGGGGGTGGGCTCCCCAAAAGACCCCCCTTAAGGCCACAACGTGCCTCTCCCTGATCCTCACGGTCAGTTCTGCCCACTGTGGAGCCAAAGGGGAGGAAAGAGGCCGCAGCTGTGATGACTCTGAGACTTTGGGGAAAGATGGACAGGAAGGTTATTTTAGATCTATAGAGGCACACAGGCTGGAGGGCTGAAGCCGCCAGTTGAGGGGGAGGGACACTGTGCGCCATTCGCCGCTTCTCCCAGGTCAGACCCAGGCACATGGGCTCCGGAATCTACCTGCGCTCTCCCGCTGACCGGGGAGAACAGCGTGTAGACCTATATACCGCTTCACAATGCTTTTGACAGCCCTCTCTAAGCGGTTTAGAAAGTCAGCATATTTGCCCTCCAACAATCTGGGTCCTCGTTTTACCGACCTCGGAAGGATGGAAGGCGGAGTCGGCCCTGAGCCGGTCAGGATCGAACTGCTGGCAGTGGGCAGAGTTTAGCCTGCAATGCTGCATTCCGACCACTGGGCCACCACGAATAAATGTAAACTGCCAGAGTTCCCTGGAGAAAAACTCAAGGATTTCCTGTGACCCCCCTTCCCTCTTCTCTCCCCCCCCCTATGGATCAGAAGCCCCCGATCTCAGCTACCTTCTTCTGTGGAGCACCCTCGCTGTGGATACGCACCCTTCGTCCTGGCCAGACAGGAGGGTCCCCCCACCACCAAAGCTTCCAGAGAGGAGCCATCCTACACTGCAACGCCATGTCGGGTGCCAGGTTAGCCCCGCCCTCCCACCTGGACTCACCTTGTCTCCCAGGTAGGCCTCCGGCAGTTGCCAGTAATAGGACTCCTGGCCCAGCTCCCCAAATTGGCCGTAGGAGAGCTGAGGGCCCCTGGGGGACTCCTCCACTGCGAAGCCGGTCAGGAGGCGGATGCTGCGCTGCCGGTTGACCAGCGCGAAGCCCTGGAAGTCTCCGGGATGGAAGGAGGTAGTGATCTGGGGGGAGGGGGGGAGAACAGCAGGACCAGCTGAGGAAAGCCCGTCGGAAGACCCCTGATTGCCTCTAGGAGGGAAGCCCTGAGACCCCTTACCACGTCCCGGTGGTAGGACGAGCTGGTGCACTGCTGGGTGACCCCCATGCAGAAGCAGGGCAGGCAGCCCATGGGGTTCTCCGCACTCAGGTGGAAGTGATGAAGGCGGCAGCGGTCGCAGGGTAAGCCCTCCACGTGGTCCTGGAAGGAGGCAAAGGCGCTGCTGGGGAGCAGGAAGACACACCCACCCCCACTCTGGGCAGAGAGGCGGGGGGCAAAGGAAAGCCGGCTGGAGCGCGGCTGGAGACTTGTGGGGGGCCGAGCCTAGGAAGCTGGGCAAGAGGGAGCACACTCTGCAGAGGGGGTTAAGTGAGGAGGGGGTGGAAAGTACCAGGGCCCTTCTCCCTGCCCCCCTCCCTCCCTGCCTACCTTACACTGGCACTGCCTGTTGGCATCACACCGGCTGCTGATGCTGCCATGTGGGTGGCACTGGCACCGGGAGTTGGAATCTGGAGGGAGGGAGGCGGAGAGAAAAGGGGCCGTGGGCCGCTGCGCACTCTGGATGCTTCTTTCTCTCCTCCCTCCTCGCCCCTGTTTCAGCACCTTCCCCCCTTCTGTGCCATCCTCATGCAAGGCCAGGCTTCGGGGCCCTCTTCTTTCTTTCTTTCTCACTGTTCCAATTCCGATTCCACCCTGGCAGGAGCAGCTTCTCCTCCCTCCTGCATGGCCAACCCCCACCACCCCCGTCACCCATCTGTCCTCCTTCCTCTGAACTCACCTGTGCAGAGTTGACCCTGACTCGGGTTCCCAACGTAGCCAGGAGCACACCTGGGCCAGGAGAGAGAATGGGCTCAGTTAAGAAGCAGAAACTGGAGCCAGACCGGCCCCAGCTGAAAGCCGACGGGCAGCCCCGCCGGCAGAGGACCCAGCTGAGCCTAGGCCCCGAGCTCTCTTGGGCTGCCTACCGTTCACACTGGCGCCCGATGTAGCCCGGGGCACAGGAGTCACAGGTTGGCCCTCCGTCTGCATCCACAAAGCAGGTCCAGGTTTGTCTGCAGTGGTGAAAGGAGAGGAAGTCAAAGAGCCTCTCGTGGCGAGAAATGGACCACCGGCAGTCACGGGGGGTACCTACTGGATGGCTGAAGGTGGCCCGTGGCAGGGGCATGGCTGGCAGTCTCTGGGCGTCCCGTGGCGGGCGTCCCCATAGAATCCAGGTTGGCAGCGTTCACAATGGAGCCCTTCAGTGTGATGCTGGCAGCCCTGGAAGCAGAGGAAGCAGTGGCTCAGCCACGAGTACCAGGCCTGGGGAGGGGGTTTCTCGGGGGGGAGGGGCTCTTCCTCCTCCTCGTCTGGGAATGGTTGCCGGTCTGGGGGCACCCTCTCCTCCTGCTCCCACCTGGCACTCTCCCGTCTCCGTGTCGCACTCGGTTGCGTGCCGGTTGCAACTGCAAGGCTCGCAGGTGCCCAGGTAGAGGCCACTGGTGGTGCGCGTGTACCCAACGTCGCAGTCCTGCAACAGAGGAGGGGTGGGGCAATGCAACAGGAGGTCAGCTGGCCTCTGGGCTGCCCCACTTCCTGGGTGCTTTCTCCATGCCGCCCCGAGAGCCCTCTGTCAGGCTCAGAGATCCGTGCCCGCCCTCCACTAGCTGCTCACCTGGCAGGATGGACCTCGGTATCCGGGCGGGCAGGTGCAGTCCTCCACCTCTGGGGCTGGGTTCAGGCCCGTGGCGTGTGGCACTGCCACATCCATGTGGATGTCAGAGATCCTGTCAGAGGAAACTGAGTTAAGATCACTTGTTCTGTCTGGAGAAAGGCACGGAGGACCGATCAGCCATCAAGAACCCACGCACCCACCCACAAGCCCTTTGGCTCCTTCCTATCTGGCAGAGTTCAGGGACCACCCTCACTCTCCCTCACACACCACACACACACACACACACACACACACACACACACATCATCCTACCTGCTCTCAGACGGTCGCTCAGCGTAGGAGGCCCGGATCATGAAAACATCGATGTCAGCCAGCGCCATCAGGAGGTGCTGCCGAGTGGCGTTCTGCCCATCGGCACGGTGCCAGGCTTGCTAAAAGAGGAGATGGGGAAGGGGGTGGTGAATGCTGCCTTTGTCCACCAGACCTTCTCTCAAGGTGGGGAAATCAGAACAGCCAAACACACACACACACACACAGACACACACGCACGCACAGACAGCCTCCGTTTTTGCACACAGCTTCCCCATTTGTGGTTGCTGCTGCTGTGGCTGAATTGCCCCCTGTGGTTGGGCAGGTAGACTGAAGGCCCAGGTGAATCTAGGGCGACGTCCTGCCAGGCCAGTCTTTCTCACCTCCCGGAAGGGCACCGCAAAGGTGGTCGGCTCCCCAGGCAGGGGGGCGCTGGCCGCCACGTGTTCCAGGAAAATGCCGTTTCCTTGCAGCAGAACGTCGGGCTGGCCGCGCAGCAGAGGGGAGCCGGGCAAGGCGTGGTGGGTGATGGTGTAGCGCAGCTCTCCGCCGTACGAGGTCACCTGGGAGGGGGGGGTGAAGCAGAGATCGGGCTCAGAGCTGGCCCGCTGTTTGTTCCGCCGGCAGGCAGAGAGCTAATACTGGGGGGAGCCAAAGAATCGAAACCTGCACTTATTTTTACCAGGGAATGTATTTGCTGCCCATCTCGTACCCGAGGACTCTGGGCGTCTGTCGAAGCCACTTAAGAACTTATTCTACTTTCAGGGGGGCAGTCGGCACAGGAAGACGCCAGCCTCCATCTGAACCCCCCCCCCACAGGCATCCTGCCCTTCTCATCCCTGCGTCACCTTGTCTCCCCTGAAGCGCTCGGGCAGCACCCAGTAGTAAACGTCCCGTGGCAGAATGTGGAAGGAAGAGAAGGAGAGCTCCGAGCCCCCCGCGAAGCGGATGCCCTCGCTGACCATCCGGGTGTTGGCTGAGTCGGCGAGGCTAAACTGCCCCCTCTGGGCATCCTCCTGTGCCAGCTGCACCTAGAGCCAGGAGCGAAGGGGGTCAGTTGTCGGAAGGGCCTCGGAGGGAGTGTCAGAGTGGTGTCTTCCTGGGGGTGCCTGTTTCCGCCCCCCCCCCCGAAGGAGTCGACCCGAGGGCTCTACCTGATCTCTGTTCCAGGATGAGCTGGCGCACTGGCGGGAGACCCCCATGCAGAAACAGCGGAGGCAGCCATCGGGGTTCCCGTGGCTCAAGTGGAAGCTGCCCGTGACACACTCACTGCATGACGTGCCCTGGACATTGGGCTGGTGTGAGAGAGAGAGAGAGTGAGAAAGAGAGAGAGCGCGAAAGAGAAAGTGAGGGAAAGAGAGAGAGAGAGGGAAAGAAAAAGAGAGGGAAAGAAAAAGAGGAGAAAGAGAGAGAAAAAGAGAGGGAAAGAAAGAGAAAGCGAGGGAAAAAGAGAAAGAGAAAGAGAGGTAAAGAGAGATGGAGGGAGAGAGAGAGAAAGAGAGGAAAGAGAAGGGAAAAAAGAGAAAGAGAGAGAGGAAAAGAGAAAGAGAGGGAAAGAGAGAGAGACAGAGGGAGAGAGAAGAGAGAGAGAGAAAGAGGTAAAGAGAGCAAAAGAAAGAATGAGAGAAAGAGAGGAAAAGAGAGAGAGAGAGAGAAAGAAAGAGGTAAAGAGAAAGAGAGAGGGGGGAGAGAAAGAGAAAAAGAGAGAGAGAAAGAGAGGGAAAGAGAGAGAGATGGAGGGAGAGAGAAAGAGGTAAAGAGAGCAAAAGAGAGAATGAGAGAAAGAAAGGAAAAGAGAAAGAGAGAAAGAGAAAGAAAAAGAGAGGTAAAGAGAAAGAGAGAGAAAGAGAGAGGGGGGAGAGAAAGAGGCAAAGAGAGAGACAGAGAATTCACACGGGGTGCCAAAACGGTGGCTGGCTCTGTAAACAGCCTCCGCCCTAAATCCTGGCTTCCAGACAGGCATAGCTGAGGTCACCCAGCCACCTTAAGCCAGCCAGCCCTCTTGCTGGCTCTTTTATCACCGTGTCTCCCCCCCCCCCCCCGAGAACTTGCCAAGCAGATCCCCGGATTCGTGTTCCGCGGGGCCAAGGCTTTCGAAGGTTTTAATCTCACACCCCCTCCGATTCAGAGGTCAGAAAGGAAAACGCGGGCCTTGCTTGGCAAAACTCTTTCCTGAGCGTGGACCGGGGTGCTTGCACGTAGCTAACACGCTGGGGCTCCCTCCTAATTGGGAATTTCGACATCCCAAAAGTCCACGTCTAAACCCTCCCTTTTCACCGGGCTGAGCCCCAGATGTCCCAGAGGGGAACAGCTGGGTTCTGAAACAGGGGTCTGTGTGTGGGGGGGGGAGAAGGTCTGCTTGCAAACTGCCTCCTTTCCGAAGGCCGTGCTCCACCCCCAGCGCCGTCAGCTTACCTTGCACCGGCAGCCCCCATCCGAGGCCTTCCTGCCCCCTCGCTCATCGCAGGCTATATCCTTCCCTAGTGAGACAAGTGGATGAAGGAGAGCGCCTCCCTCAGGCCAAGCCTAATTCACACTACCCCTCTCTGGGATGTGAGGGAGGCTGTGGAGGATGGGGGGGGGGAGAGGGCAAGGAGCCGGCCTGCGGGAGAGGGAGAGATGGGACACCCAAGAAGAACGCAGCGTAACAGCCGGGATAAAAACAGAAAAACTGTAGACCGGCAAGACAAAAAGCTCCCTCTCCCAGGGCGGTCAGTCCTGCTGGGCCTTGAAATAGCCCCCTGGGATCCCAAGGAGATTACCTGGAGGCGGGATCCCTTCTCCTCCAATCAGCACGCACTTCCCGCCTGGCTGGATGGGGTTGCCTTCGTAGCCAGGAGCACACCTGCAAGGGCAGGGACGGACACGGCCAGTGAGACGCCCCTCCCTCTCGGATAGGTCACCTGACCCTAACCTCACACACACACACACACACACACACACACACACACTCCAGCTAGCACAACGGGGCTGCTGTGGCCCCACACTTCTGGCTGAGGAAGGCTTTGACAGGAGAGCGCTCTGGGTCTTTCACCTTTCGCAGCGGCGTCCCGTGTAGCCCGGCAGACAGGCGTCGCAGGTCGCCTGCCTGTCCGTATCCAAGAAGCACGAGTTCGAAAACCTGCCAGAGGGAAAAGACCGTCAGGCTGGCTGCCAGGGAGCCCTGCCCTGCCTCCAGCGGGCCCCACTGGTGCAGCTCGCTCCAGGAGCAGAAGTTGCACCGGTGTAGCACCTGAAGACGGCTGTGGAAAGGTGTGTATATGGGGGCTAGGGGGAAAACCTGGCGTCTCCCAGTCCCTGGGAGCTGACTTCCCTTAAAGTCCACAAGTCATACAAGGGCCAAGTTTGAAGACCCCGTGGACTTCAACTCCCAGAATTCCTCAGCCAGACACGCCGGCTGAGGAATTCTGGGAGTTGAAGTCCACAAGTCATACAAGGGCCACATTGGAAGACCCCTGCCGTAGATGAATGCTGAAGCTGTTCCAAGCATCCTCTTTAGACAACCCTGGCCTTCCTCACCTGCGTGGAACTTCGGTGTACGGGCACGGGCAAGGCCGGCACGCTGTTGGGCTGGCCTGGGTGGCATCGCCGAAGAAGCCCACCTTGCATTTGTCGCACCGCGGCCCTTCAGTGTTGTGCTGGCAGTTCTGCACAAAGAGAGAGGGGGAGGGGCAGGAAAGGGCCGTGAGAGGCCAGACCCTGCTCTGCTCCGAGAACCAACGTCATCACCTTTCGGATCTGGGACCCCGCGAGGGAGCAAAGAGCACCTCCCCAGAGTTTCAAGCACTCATCATAGATGCATTTGGGGTGTTTGCAGAGCAGGAGAAGGGAAAACATGCCTAATGGAGGAGTACAAGGACTTGGGGATAGTGGTGTCCCACTAAGCAAATCTTAGTTTTTGGCACAGTGTACCAAACAATGCAATGTAGACCACTGCTTAACAATAGTGATAGCTCTTAGGTTATATACCGCTTCACAGTGCTTTACAGCCCCCTCTAAGCAGTTTACAGAATCAGCCTGTTGCCCCCCAACAATCTGGGTCCTCATTTCACCCACCTTGGAAGGATGGAAGGCTGAGTCAACGTTGAACGAGTCAGGATCGAACTATAGACTGTGGCAGAGTCAGCCTGCAATACTGCATTCAACCCACTGTGCCATCATGGCTCTTACACAGCAAAAGCACTTAGACTTATCTACTACTTCACCCTACTTTACAGCCCTCCCTTGAGCGGTTTACGGAGTCAGCCTGTTGCCCCCCCAAACAATTTGGGTCCTCATTTTACTGGCTTCAGAAATGTGGAAGGCTGAGTCAACTTTGAGCCAGTCAGGATCAAACTCCTGGCTGTGGGCAGAGTTTACCTGCGATCCTGCATTTTAATCGCTATGCCACCATGGCTCTTAATGCAACATCCGGTCAGCTACAGCAATAGCAGTAGTACTTAGACTTTACAGCCCCCTTTAAACAGTTTATAGAGTCAGCATTTTGCCTCCCAACAATCTGGGTCCTCATTTGACCGACGCTGAAGGATGGAAGGCTGAGTCAACTGTGAGCCAGTCAGGATCGAACTCCTGGCAGTGGGTATGCGGAGTTAGCCTGCAACGCCGCATTCTGACCACTGCGCTACCACGGCCTTCGTTAGGACACTTTTTTGCTGCTTGAAACACTTCCCAGCCGTCCTCCTAGGTGCCTCCTCAGACCTTCTCCAGTCGGGACCCTACATCTAAAAGCTTCTCCTGGAGTGTCCCCCAGACTTTAGGGCCCATCCTTTGTTGTTGTTAGTTGCGAAGTTGTGTCCGACCCACGCGACCCCATGGACAATGTTCCTCCAGGCCTTCCTGTCTTTTACCATCTTCTGGAGTCCCTTTAAGCTCACGCCTGCTGCTTCAAGGACTCCATCCAGCCACCTCATTCTCTGTCGTCCCCTTCTTCTCTTGCCCTCCATCTTTCCCAGCATTAGGCTCTTCTCCAGTGTGCCCTTCCTTCTCATTAGGTGGCCAAAGTAGGCCATTAGGTGGCCCACCCTGCCCCTCCCCAACTCCCACGGTCCAGCCGCTCACCAGGCAATAGCCAGAGAAGGGGTCGCAGGAGGTGGAGTGGCCGTGGCAGCTGCAGCCGGAACAGATGCCCAGGTAAGGGCCGCTGGGCACTCGCTTGAAGTGAGGCTCGCACCGCTCACAGGACAGGCCAGAGTAGCCCACGGGGCACCTGCAAAAGGAAGGATGAGCGGAGCTGAAAACAGCCGCAGCAACAGCAGCAAGTACCAGCTGCCCCTTCCAGCAGAGGCGGCGGGCAAGGCGGGCGAGGAGTTAGTGCCAAGCATGCCCTTGTTCTGGCTATTTCAGAATGGCTCTGGGTGGAAGCACCTTTGCCCAGAGAGGACTAGATGGGCGTTTCAGGCCACAGCCAAGCCCGATAGGTCTACTCAGGGTTAAATGTTTTTCTCCAGCACTGGCAGCAGACAACCAGGAATGGGCAAAGAGGGAAGAGTGACGTTTGTGGGAATCCCAGCCGCAGCAAACAGGTCTACAAAACGGGGTGTTGCGTGCAGGGAGGCAAATAATGTTTGAATGCAAAAAACAAAAAAACAAAAACGCTGCTTCCTGATCAGGATTGAAGCTGTGGGTCTTGGGAAGAGGGAAGGCGAAAATTAGAGGAGTCCTAGAGTGGCCCTGTTTTTCCAGCCCTTGTAGGCTCCCATCTCTATGATGCAGGTAGGGGGAGAGGGGGAACCTTCTGTTAACCCTCTCTTCCCCGTTCAGACCCTCTGACAGACTAGGCCAGAGGTAGGCAACCTTGGCTCTTTTATGACTCATGGACTTCAACTCCCAGAATTCTTGAGCCAGCATGGGGGAACTATGGCCCCCTTCATGACTCCTGGACTTCAACTCCCAGAATTCCTGAGCCAGCCATGCTGAGGGGAAAGGGAGAGGTTTCGAAGCTGAGCCAGGCTGGCTCAGGAATTCTGGGAGTTGAAGTCCACGAGTCATGAAGGGGCCAAAGTTTCCTTCATGCTGGCTCAGGAATTCTGGGAGTTGAAGTCCACCCCTGGACTAGGGTGACCACAATAAGCCGGGGAATAAACTAAAGCGTATCTGAACTCCACAGCAGACTTGATTATGGGGGATGTGTGATCCAATAGCCCCTCTTCCCCCAGATTTTCGTCCTAGAGATTCCCCAGATCTAGCTCCACCACAGCCTTGCCCTCGCCCTTTGGCACCTGCATTCCTCGACATGATGCGCCACACCCAGGCCGGTGACCTCTGTGGTGGTGGTGTCCATGACGATGTTGCTCAGTCCCACGGTGGCCATCCGGTTATCGTAAACCGTCTGGATCATGAGGGCCTCCAGGTTCTGAAGAGAAAGAAGCAGCTCCTCTCGGCTTACGGGCTCCCCGGACGCCTTCTGCCAGTTCTCCTGTAGGCATAAAACATGATCAGACAGTCCCGGTCTCGCCCGCTCAACTAAAAGCAGACACGTGTGCGAATTTGCTTCCCGTGGCCTGCTTCCAAGCAAGAGCTACCTCAGATCTTGGTTATTGCAAGGGTGAAAGGAGGCAGCTCTACGCTCGGCATCCTGAATCCCCGGAAGCCCTAAAGTATTGGGAGTGTCTGTCCCATTTGGCAGGGGGTCTTTACAGGGGTCCCAGCAAGAGACAAGTGCTCTCCTTCTCCTCCCTTCCCCCCCCCATCCCTGGCCCCCTGGCACTCACCTCCGTGAAATGGACCTGGCGCCGGTTGGCCACAAAGGGGTCGGGGGGCGTCTGCAGCCGGTAAAACAGCTTCTGCCCGTTGCCCACCATGACCACGTCCGGCTTCGGGACAGGCTCCGACTGGCCTCGGCCCAGGTGATAGCGCACCGTGAACTGGAGGGAGCCTCCGTAGGAATCCACCTGGAGGAAAAGTGGGGCGCGCCGGTTGCTAGGGAGAAGGTGGGCATGCAAAGATGCCCAGAGTCACCAAGAATCAGGAGACGGGTGGGCATCCAGGAAGCGTGGCATCTGCTGCCCTTGCCTTGTTCCCCAGGAACTGCTTGGGGAGGGTCCAGAAGGCATCGTGCATGAGGAAGTGCCGAGAGAGATCGACCAGCAGGAACTCCTGCACGCCGGGGTCAATCTGCATCTGCGTTGAGGCCAGGGGAGGCGTCCCGGGCTGATCGAGGGAGGTCACGTTCACCCCTGGGAAGAAAGGGGAATGCAACAAGCCGGGGGGGCTCAGGGAGGGCTAGTGAGGGCCACCCTGGCCTGTCCTTGGGTGGAGGTGCCTTGCCCACCGGCTCACCTTTGAAATTGTTGTGTTCATCGAACCGGAGATGGATTTGTTGACGGTAGCGGCCGGTGCTGCGGCACGATTTGGCGACCCCGAAGCAGAAACAGGGCAAGCACTGACCGGTCCCTTCAACGTGAAAGTGCCTCTCGGGGCAGGGCCCTGAAGGGTGAAGGGAAGGGAGGCTCAGAGGCCGAGAGGGAGATGCCAGGGAGGGCCCTTCATCCTGAGCCAATCCCAACCAGGACGGAGGGGCGCGATTCTCCAGCTATGCTGCAGCTCACCTTGGCTGGGCGTGACGCTCAACACACCGTCCGGGATGCCGAAGACCATTCCCCGGGCGTTGATAGCCTCGCAGGTGTAAGCCCCCTGGTCGGCCTCCTTGACATCCTGGATGACCAGCGTCCCCCGGCCGTTCTCGCTGGTGAAGCTCACCCTGTAGGCGCAAGAGGAACTCAGCACCCTGAAGTTTTGAAGGCGGTGGGGACCAGTTGGGGGCTCGTCCGGGACTGGCCTACCTGCGGCTGCTGGGGATATGGCCCCAGTTGAGCCTCCAGGAGATGAGGGGGGTCGGTACGCCCACGGCCACACAGGTGAAGCGAATGGTTTCCCCTGGGGCAGCCTGGATGAACTCCTCCGGGGGAGTGATGACCTGTGGAGGGACTGGGGTGGAAGGGACAGGAAGCGGAGAGGTGGCGAGGAAGGGCAGTCGAGAAGAGAGGAGCGTGAATTATTTCAAAAGGGGAGGCGAGTACAGAAGTGGCGTAGCAATGCTTCAAAGCCTCCACTTCCAGGCAGTTCATTTGGGAGAAGCTGCTGCTGTTTTGGGGTTTCCTGGGGAGGAACCCCAAGAAGGCAGTCCCCTGGCACTCCCTTCAGTCTCCATCCCTCCATCCCCGCCTGGCCTGCCAGCATGCTGGCACTCACTGCAGCCAATCTCGTCCGAGCGGTCCTGGCAGTCGGCCTCGTCATCGCACTGGTAGCTGGCCGGGATGCAGGTGTGGCTGGAGAGGCAGACAAACTGGTCGGGGCCACAGGTGTCTCCAGGGGCCTTAGTGGCTGCAGGGAGGAAGAGGGGGGGACTCAACATCCTCTGCAGCAGGAGTCTTTACCAGCTGCCGCTCCGGGATGGCTTCGGGGGTCCTGCGAAGCCTTCATTCAGGACCAAATCTTGCCCAAACTAAGACCCGGTTTGTGATTTCCTACTGAACCCAGCCCCAGCGGACTCAAGATTTGCAGAAGGGGTCTCCCCCACAATCACAACCCCCCTCACCCCCACCACCCCCGCCGAGCTCTCGGTGCTCACGGCAGTCCAGCTCGTCAGAGCCGTCGGCGCAGTCATTGTCCCCGTCGCAGCGCCAAAGCGTGAGGGCGCAGTGCCCGTTCCGGCATCGGAACTCATTGGGTTCGCAGGGTGAGGGAGTGCCTTGGAGGGCGACAAAAGGAGAGTTACCGTTGCGGTTCTCTCTCTCTCTCTTCCGCACCTGGGCGCGCGCAACCCGCCTGCAGCCCCCCCGGACTCACCGCAGTTCTGTTCGTCACTGCCGTCTGGGCAGTCCCGCTCGCCATCACACAGATAGTCCCGGCGGATGCATTGCCCGTTGGAGCACATGATTTCGTCTTTCCGGCAGGAGATGAATCCGGGGCCCAGTGGGGGCTTAGTGACTGGTACCCGGCGGGTGGTGATGGGGGACGTGGTGGCAGGGATCCGGGCAGTGCTGGGCGACAGAGAGGAGGTGGGCCCCAAAGGCCTCTCTGGTTCTGCCGGAGCAGAGAAGAGAGTGATGGGTCAAGAGGAGGAGTGTGGCAGAGAAGGACAGCTTTGTCCCCCGCCTGTGCTCGGATGCAAAAGGAAGCCCAAAGCAGGCCGAGCGGAAGGTGGTGAGATTCCGTTCACACAACCACTCAGTTCTACAAACTGCAGCCACGCGGTTTCACGCCGGGAACCCAAACCCTTCGTGTCGATTGAAAGCAGCCGCATCCGAGGACTAACTTTCCCCCACCTCCCTCGTGGGGTGGTTGGTAAAGGCAGAATCACAGGGGACTCTCAGGAAGACACCTGGAGGCCTCTCCTGCCCGCAAAAAAAACCCCTCACCACAGCCATCCTCGTCAGAAGCGTCTCCGCAGTCGGGGTGTCCGTTGCAGTGCGACGCTTGGGGTACACATTCCCCGCTGTCACAGGCAAACTCCTGAGGGGCGCACTCGGGGGGATCGGGCTCCTCTGTGGGCAGAGAGAAACGCGACTGAGCCACACCTTGCGATTAAGACGACCAGGAGCCCAAAGCTGCCCACGGCCCCGATTGCCCACCGCAGTCCAGCTCGTCCGACATGTCACGGCAATCCGGCCGGCGGTCGCAGAAGAACTCGCTGGCGATGCATTCTCCGCTCAGGCAAGTGAACTCCTCCGCCGTGCAAGGCCGGATTTCTGGGGTGACTGAAGGAGAGGCAGGGGTTAGGAGGGAGCTGCAACTGGGCCAGGGAAAAGAAACGGAAAGACCCGAAGTCCAGAACGCCTTTCCTGCCTCTTTGTAAAGCACCTCCCTGCCCTGGTAGCAGAATCTCTCCTCTCCCACTGGACAAAATGCAATTATGTGCGCAGGACTTGGGGGGCAAATCCCACCTCTGACGCCCCAACGATCCGACTGATCTTAGGCATCTGCACCCTGCCGTGGCCCTTGGAACATACAAACAAATAGGAAGCAGGTTTTCTGATTTTAAAGCTCTCTTATAATAATAATGATAAAGTTGGAAGGGGCCTTGGAGGTCATCTAGTCCAACCTCCTGCTCAGGCAGGAAACCCTAGACCATTTCGGACAAATGGCTGTCCAGTCTCTTAAAAACGTCCAGTGTTGGAGCATTCACCACTTCTGGAGGCAGGTTGTTCCACTGGTTAATTGTTCTGTCAGGAAGTTTCTCCTTAGTTCTAGGTTGCCTCTCTCCTTGATTAGTTTCCATCTGTTGCTTCTTGTCCTGCCTTCAGGCACTTTGGAGAACAGCTTGACTCCCTCTTCTTTAGGGCAGCCCCTGAGATATTGGAAGGCTGCTATGATGTCCCCTCTTGTCCTTCTCTTCGTTAAACTAGATATACCCAATTCCAGCAACCGTTCCTCATATGTTTTAGCCTCCAGTCCCCTAACCGTCTTTGTTGCTCTTCTCTGCACTCTTTCTAGAGTCTCAACATCTTTTTTAGATCGTGGTGACCAAAACTGGATGCAGTATTCCAGGTGTAGCCTTACCAAGGCATTGTAAAGTGGTATTAACACTTCATGCGATCTTGATTCTATCCCTCTGTTAATGCAGCCCAGCACTGTGTTGGCCTTTTTGGCAGCTGCAGCACACGGATGGCTCCTATTGAAGTGATTGTCCAGTAGGATTCCAAGATCCCTCTCACAGTTACTACTATTGAGCAAGATGCCACCTATGCTGTACTTGTGCATTTGGTTTTTCCTGCCTAAATGTAGAACCTTGCTTTTTTCACCACTGAATTTCATTTTGTTAGACAGCGCCCAGTGTTCAAGTCTGTCCAGATCCTCCTGTATCCTAAGCCTGTCTCCTGGAGTCTTGCCAAAGATCTTTCTGGAACTGGAGTGCAAGCGAGATCCCCTGTGCCACTCCCGCTATGTTGTGATTGCACCCACGCCCTCCAGCTACCCCCCCCCAACCAGGCTGCCAACCCCTTGCCTTGCTCATCAAGCGCACACACAAACATCACGGCACACAGCGAGAGTCTGGAAACACACCGCAAGATGTACTTTGCAGGGGCCCTCTGGGGCCCGGGGGCAGCTTCCGGCTTCCCGGTTTTGCTCAGCAAGACACAACGACACGACAGCAAGAGAAGTGTGTTGGGGGGGAAGGGGAGGGGAGGCAGTGCCTGCTGGACTCCTAGGTATGTGCTAGAGCTGCATAGCAGTGCACAGCCGCCCTTCCCACTGAGTTCCCAGCTGGGAAGCTCTGTCCAGAGTTGCTGGGAATGACAAGCGCTCACATCAAAGGCCAAGATCTACATGCTGCACACTCACATGGCGCACAAGGAGGAGCACAAGGAGGCCTGGAAATATTTTGGGGGGGAGAGCTAGGTATGCAGGAGGAAGGGGGTAGAATCTGGGCAGAGAAGGACAAAAGACTGGCCTTCTTCTTCTCCTCCTCCTCCTTCTCCTTCTCCCCCTCCCCCTCGTCCTCCTCCATCTATGGGGCCGAGTGCCCTGCAGCTGCTGAAACCGGAGCCCCCTCAGGGGACAAGTGTCTTCCCTGCTAAGACTCGCTTCCGGCAAAGATGCCAGGGAGGCCAGGGGCGTGCAGAGAGAAAAGGGGACAGCTGAATCGGTGCACTCCACCCAGGCCTCCGTGCACCTCTCCGGCCCCTGACTTACCTGTTGGCGCTTCAGAGAAGGGGGGAGGCGGGGTTTGGGCTGAAAGCAAACCCAGAAGTTAGCGGCGTGGGGGGGCCACTCCCTCCCGGCCTCCCACCAGCGCTGCCCTCCCCTCTGGCTAGAGTCAGCGGGCAGCTTCACCTGCTCCCAGGCGCCGGAACTGGAATCCCTTCCGGGAGGTGCGGTAGGAGGCGATGGACCCGCTGTCCACCACGGAGAAGAGCACCTCGCGGATCTGCCGGTCGTTCGCGTTCCCCTCGGATCCCACGTCCAGCTCCACGAAGATGTAGCCGTCGACCTCCCTGCGGGGCAGGACAGGAAACCGGCGTGCGTTTTCACAGGTCGCCCCAAACAGAGTCCCACCCCGGTTGCTTTGGCAAGCCTGCGACTTCTGAAGAGGGCGCGGGTTCAAATTCTGCCCCAAAGCCTCTCTCTCTCTCCCCCCCCCCAAGATACTCACTTGATAAAAACCACGCTGACCGACTGCTCGCCGGGGATCTTGATGTATTCAGATTCCAGCTAAGAGAAAGGGGACAGGGGGAAACGGTTCAGACAATTTGGGGGCAGTGATCTAACCCACTCCCTCTCCGCTTCTGGACTTAGGACCTCTGCTTGGGCAGGGGAGGAGGAAGAGATCTCTAGCCCAGCGATGTATGGGGAGCTCGTGGTCAGGGAGAGGCCAGCCCCGAGTAATTTTTAAATCCACCGTGTTTTTCAGAACGCCAATAGATCTCGAGGCAGCCTGACCTTCGAAGAGGGGGCTCGGAATCGGCTGCGGGAATCTGAACCAGGCCCTTCTTTCACAAGGTTGTTGTGAGGATAAAAGGCAGCAGGGAGGGAGGGAAGGAAAAGCCAGGCCAGCTGCCGATGGAAAGAGGACCTCAGTGGTGTCCACAAGGGAAGCAGGGGCGACTTTTGCCAGGCACGTGCTCCGGAGAGGGAGCTGAGGACAGATGGGGTGGGGGGCCGGGGCGGGCTCACCGTATCCACCACCGCTTCGGACACCTCCAGGAAGGCCTCCGAGTTGACATCTTCCAGGCGGGGGCTGTACTCGAGGGACTGGGTGAAGTTCACCTGAGCCCGGAAGTAGACTGCGGAGGAAAAGGGGCCGGCTGAGGAAGGCCTGGCCACCCTCTGCAGGGCTGCCAAGCGTACCACCCCTCTCCGCTTGGCAAGGAAGGGGTGAAACCGTGCTGAGCTAGCCCTTCACGCAATCCTCTTGGCTAGCTTCTTGCCTACGTGGCCGTAGCCCAAAGGAGGCCCTGCCCGGAAGCCCAGGGTGCCGAGCAGATGTTTGGGCAGGATTAAGGGGGCCCCGTCCCTCTGCTGCCTGAGGGGAAAGTCTGGAGGACACTCAGACTGGTCCCGCAGACCCTTTCCTCCTCAGAGGCAGCGGCGGGGGCACGTGAGCCAGGCACAGGAGGGGCCGAAGCCTCCCACCCCCGGTTTTCACAGCCTGCGGAGAGGCCCAGCCAGCGGCAGATTCCAGACCCAGCTGCAAAGTTGGAGGGCTAAACTCAGCTCCAGGGATGGGGTGGGAGAAGGCCTGCAGGCCGGCCCGCCTGCTGGCCTCCGCGGTCTGGGCCCGGGAAAGCAACCACAGCCACCAACTTCCTCCAGGGCAGCGGTTCTCAACCTGTGGGTCGGGACCCCATTTGGGGTCGAACGACCATTTCACGGGGGTCGCCAAACAACGCAGTCCGCCATTTTTTTCCCCCTTTTCCTTAGCTGTGCTACTCCCTTTTATTCTATTGGCTTTGGAAAGCCAATAAAATAGACTCTCTTGAATAGCGTCTAATTCTATTGGCTTTCCAAAGCCCATAGGAATTGTCCAGGCTGTCTCTGCCCTGCCGAGCCCGCCTAAAGTCCCAGTCTGCAAACGGTGCTGCACCTGTTGAGTAGTCCTCGACTTACGACCGGTTGGGGGTCGCAGCATTAAAAAGGTTGAGAACCACTGCTCCAGGGTTTCCTATTACAAAGGCCCTGTGGGTCACCTGTGGCCAGGCACTGACCTCGCCCACTTTGCAGAGAAGCAAAGCCAGCCAGGCCACGGAAGGAGGAGAGTGGTGGGGACAGACGGAGCCTCCGCCAGGGCAGAGCTGCAGAAGGACAACCTGGCCGGCTGCAGAGGCCCTGCCCGTGCCCAGATCCAGGAGGGGAAAGAGGGCACCGTGGAGAGAGACGGCCGGTTCACGCCGGGTGAAAAACTCCCTGGAGCACCCAGGCGACTCTTGGCCCCCTCCCACCCGCACATTCTGAGATTCCAGGGCGCCCACCCGTCTCAAGGGCCGCTCGTAGCACAAGGGGAGGGGAGGGGCTGTGGTTCAACCTTCCCTCATAATAGCCCCATTCAGAGCTCGGCTGCCTACGATGCCCCTGTGACTTGGCCCAGCCGCTCGAGGGCCCCACCCGCCCGCAGAGTCACCCTGAAAGAATGTGCCATGCCCCTGCCTTCGAAGGCGGCCGGGGGGGGGGGCTTTGCTGCTTCCTGCGGGCACGTTGTCCCGCAGCCGCTGTCGGGGAATGTGCCAGGCCTACCCTGCGCCCTGCCTCTTTCCTGCCACAGCCAGTAGCTTTGGGAGGGAGGAAGCAAGCGCTTCCCCTAACTGTCTGCAGAGTGCCGGGGGTGACACTGGGAGAAAGGCTAGGAGTTTCCTTTGGGGCTCAGGGGAAAGGGCCGAGCTATGGGGCTTCTCCCCCAGGGTGTGTGTGGGGGAGGTGGGGGGGAGCACATCTGGACTAGCAGATGTGAAGGGGAAAGAGAGATGGAAGTCTCAGCCAGCAGCCCAGGGGAGAAGCCACAAGCGTTGCAAAAGAGCAGCGTGAGTCAGCAGGGGGAAAAGGGCATGGCCCCCCAGGTCCAGAGGTGGGGAGGGAAAATCAGGAAGGCCGGCTTGTCCTGTGGGCCGTGGGCCTCCCTTCTTCCCTCCCCACACCGGTCCTTCTGCAGGGGGGCGCAAAGCAGGGCTGGAGCTTTGCCTCCTTTTAAGGTGGTGGGGAGCTGCCTGCAGCTGCGAAGGAGAACAATGCGCAAAGGGCTCTGGGCTGAGTCAGCTTCCCTCTCCGGCCACGTTCAGAGGCCCTGGACCTTGCAGGGAAGCTGGGGTGGGTGGGTGGGGGGGCAGCAAAAAATACCAGGAGACTGGGGTGGGGGAGGATTTCTCCGGAATCACGAGGGACCTCAAGCCCACAGCCTCTTCCTTCTGCCCTTTGGGACTGACCCAGTTGGCAGAGTTAGTAATGGTAGTAAAGTTGGAAGGGACCTTGGAGGTCATCTAGTCCAACCCCCTGCTCAGGCAGGAAACCCTGTACCATTTCGGACAAATGGCTGTCCAGTCTCTTCTTAAAAACTTCCAGTGTTGGAGCATTCACCATTTGTTCCACTGGTTAATTGTTCTCACTGTCAGGAGGTTTCTCCTTAGTTCTAGGTTGCTTCTCTCCTGGATGAGTTTCCCCCCGTTGCTTCTTCTCCTGCCTTCAGGTGCTTTGGAGAATAGCTTAATTCCCTCTGTTCTTCCTGCGCCCCTTACTCCCCAGCCCCAGTGGAGTAATGGGCCAGTAGTAAAACCCATCCACACCAGGGCTGGCTGATCAAATCCCAGCTGAGTCCTCATCGCATGCAAAGCAAAGCTGAAAACGTCCTGCCTTGGGGGGGGGGGAGAGAGCAGGACAGGCGGTCAGCCCCTGACTGTCCTGGCTGCTCGGCCAATGGGCGTTAGAGAGGGTGGCATAACTCTCCCGGCAAGGCCTGACGCCCGTCCCGTCCAGGGGGCGAGGGGTCCCGTTGCTCTCCTCGACCAACTCAGCCTGGGGAATCCTCTAGCCCGACTTACTGAGCGGAGACTCATCGTCCGGCTCGGGGGCGGCCAGGTGGGCAGGGGCAGGAGGGCCAGCAGGAGAAGGAAGAGGAGAAGGAGGAGGAGGAGCAGGAGGAGATGAGAAGTCTGCAGAGAAGAGAAAGGAGAGAAAGAAAGGCGAAAGAAAGAAACATCTGGAGATCCAGCTGAAGGCGCAAGGCCAGAGGCAAACGGCACGCCCACCTGGCGGGCACCTTTCTTCTCCCTAGTGGCCCTGACCAGCCACCCCACGGCAGGACCTCTTTTGAAGCCTTCTCACCGAGGCCCACCACGCCCAAGGCAGCCCGGAGCAGAAGGCCTTCGTCCTCCCTCCCTTCCACCTTGGAAAACTCCCCCGGCTTTCCACAGGAGCATTATCCGCTGGTAACATTGTCCATGGGTAGGCTTGACCCACCGACAAGGTGTGGGAGAATGACTAGACGGAGGTTGGGGGGGAAAGAGGCACGTCCCCACATCGGGTGAGCACCGCTCTCTTCACACACCCACACATCAGCGGGGCTGGGCTGTGGAAGCCAAGCTGCATCTGGTGAACCGCTGGGCCAGCTGTCCCAGAAAAAACAAGGCAGCAGGGGGGGGAGGCTGGCCCCACTGGGTTGTCCGAAGTAAGCCAGGCCAGAGCTGGCTGCTTCCCAGGGGGAAAGGAATAAACAAACAAACACACACACACACACTACACATCTGTCGGGCTTGATCAATTGGCAAAGAGCATCAGGGAACGAAAAGGGGGTGGGGAGATAGAGGGGAGGGCAGCAGAAAGAGCTGGGTTTAAGAGAGGACAAGGGACACCTTCCCCAGCCAGCTGCTGCTTTGAACGCAAGGTGAGCTGCCGACCGAGGCTTCTCGAAGGAAGGCCCCGGGCTGGGGACCCTAGCCCTCCGAGTGGGCCTAAAGGTAAATGTGGCTGGTTCGGTATTTTTCTGCACAGGGAAGCCTTAAAGAGTGAGAAAACATATCTTCCTCCATGGCCAGAAGGCCGTTCCTGACGAGAAGAAAGGAAGGAAGGGGAGCCATCTGCTAGAACGCTTTGAGAACAGGCAGCCTCGGCCCCAGGGACCCTCCAGACAGGCTGGCCCGCAGCCTTTCCCATCCACGCCCCCGGATGATTCTGCTCCATGCGTGCCGGAGCTGCCAGAGATTCTTGCACGTGGACCAGCTTGGCCTCGGCTCCCAGGATGCGCTGAAGCCGGGCCCAGCCGCTCCCAGCACCTTCTGCAGCTCTGAAACCCGCCAACCTGGAGTCCAGAAATTTGGAGCAGGTGCAAGGCGCCGCCTCCGGGACCAGACGCCTTGCCAAGGGGCGGTTCTGCCCTAAAGAGCTGGGGAGGCACTTGGGGAACCACGTGGGCACCCCTCCCCGGGCCTCACCAGCCGTCTTTGCACGAGTTCTCCAACCAGCCCAGCACGCGCTTACTTGTGGAGAAGAGATCGTGGGGGGACTCGACCGAGGGGATCCCGCTGCCGTGCTCTCCGCTGCCGTTCTCATCTGCAACAACCAGAAGATCAGTGGCTGGCCGGAGGGCCAAAAGGGGGGAAAGGGCTGAGGGGGCTCCGCCAGTCTCCGAAGCCCTCCCGGGGCTCATCCTCCTCCAGGCTCACCTCCGGACGGGCCGCCAGCCATGAGATCCTCATCGTCAAACGTGCTATCGTAACTCTCCCGGAGCCAGTGGGTGCTCTCCGATTCTGTGTCCTCCGGGAACGTGGCCTCGTCCAGCCGGCTGGAGGCCTGAGCCACCTGCAAAAGAGAGGACGACAGTTGGGGGGGGGAGATTGTCTTGCAGCCCCGGATCGCCTCCTGCCCACATCCCCACTGGGCAGTTCCGGCTTTCTCCTGGCCCCCGATGCCCAAACCCTGGCATAAGCCGCTTGCGAGATGCTGAGCAGAGAGCAAAGCTCCTTTCCCTCCCCCTCCCCTGCAGGGCTGGGGGTGCCACGCAGGGAAAAACGCCCCCCCCCGGCCTGGAGAAACAGCATCAAAGGGATTACGGCCACTTCACCGCCTTGACAAGAGCCCAAGCTGGCAGACTACAAAGGGGGCTTGTTCCGAAGGGCGCAAGAGGCCCATTGAGAGCGGACGGCAAGGGTCCTCAAGGTGCTCTGGGGCGGAAGGGCGGAGGCTGTGGTTCCCTGGGGCTGGCTCTTGGGGGGGGGAATGAAGGAATGCCACGCCAGCCCACCCATCCTTCATCCCTGCACCCCGAGAGGCAGGGCAGGAAGTAGGCGGCGCGGATCCTCAGCCAACCAGAAAACGTGAAGATGGTGCTCCGAAGGGAATTTCCACTCGCCCCGGAAGCAAAAGATCGGTTGTGGAGAAGGGGTGCCCGCGGCCACGTTGGCACTGCTACCAAACTGGGGGCTCCTCTGCTTGCAGACCTGGCCAATGAGCACCTCTGCGAATGCAGGGAAGGCTATTCCCACCCACCCCCGCCATAATGGCAGAAAGAGGGGGAATTAGTAAAAAAAAAACAAAACCCAAAACCCAGGACTGCCTGGTTAGGTTCCCGGATGCTTGAGGAAGTGACCAAGGAGTCCTCTGCACTGTGTGTGTGTGTGTGTGTGTGTCTTTCAGAGATGGGCTCTGTCTGGGAAGGAGAGATGCCAGCCTTGGCCTGTGATGCCAGCACTGGCAGACGGGCCGTGGATCTTCTGCACAGTTTGCAACGAGAGAGCGATGCCAGAAGTCCAGGCTGCCCGTTCGTCGCCCCTGGCAGGAGATTTCTCCCTGGACTGGCCCCTCCCCTCCTGCCTTGCAGCCGCTACCAGCCATGCCCGCAGGCTGCCACTCCACGCGAAGCCGTAGGGCATCCCTGAAGCAAGAATGGGGAGTGTCCAGCGAGCTCATGCTGCCCGCAGCAGGGCCTGATATTTCTTGCCCAGAAAGGTGCTCTTGAGCCGACAACCATGGCTTCCGGTTAGAAGGGACGCCAAGAGGCTGGCGGAACCCCTCCTGCTGAGTCCTTGGGAATTCAGGGGTAGACTTGCCCTGGCAAGGGAGGCTCCACCTGCCACTTCTACCTGCCTGCCACTTCTCAAATCAGTGGCGCCTTGGGGGGCGGGGGATGGGAGCTATAAAACCACACCCCTTAGCAGGGCATCTGTGCCAAAGGACCAGGGTTACCCTTTGGAGAAGGGAGGATGGCCCCCTCCCGAACACCTGGGCAGAAGGCACACACACACACACAGAGACATGGCCGCACAGCAAGTAAGAGGAAGAATCCGATCCGACTGTGCCTTTCTGACTGGGTTTCTCTCTCCTGGTGGGGCACGGCTGGTTCTGGGTTGCCAGGCAGGGCCCAGAGATAAGGAAGGGTTTAGAGCAGTGGTTCTCAACCTTTTTAATGCCGCAACACCCCCCCCAACCGGTCGTAAGCCGAGGACTACTCAACCGGTCGTAAGTCGAGGACTCCTTAACTGCTGCAGCACCGTTTGCAGAAGGGGACTTTTGGCGGGCTCAGCAGGGCAGAGACAGCCTGGACAATTCCTATTGGCTTTGGAAAGCCAATAGAATTAGACTCTATTCAAGAGAGTCTATTCTATTGGCTTTCCAAAGCTAATAGAATAAAAGGGAGTAGCACAGCTAAGGAAAAGGGGGGAAAATGGCGGACTGCGTTGTTTGGCGACCCCCGTGAAATGGTCGTTCGACCCCAAATGGGGTCCCGACCCGCAGGTTGAGAACCACTGGTTTAGAGGCTGGGCAGCCTACGGTTAGCCAGCAGATCCAGGAAGAAGGGCACATTGAGCTCCCCAACCGGGGGTGCCCCCCCCAGCCTTTAGCCCCCCCTGAATGGGGACGGGGGGCTTGCAAAGGGCCAGGAGGAGGGAAGCACCCCAGGCATCCAGCACCCGTCTCCAGAGAGCAGGAATAAAAAAGAAGGGGGCTCTCTGGCAGAGATTCAACCTTCCTGCATGTGGGTTTAGGGGGGTGGTTCGTAACCTTTTTGAACGAATCGCCCCCTTGAGCCAATGAGGAAGTTGTCATCGCCCCCCTCCCCCAACATAACCCCTCAATCACAACCTAGGAAATAATTCTTCCATTTATGCAAACCCTTTTTTTGTTTTCTTTGAAATTGTTCATCAGGACCTATCGATGCAAATAATTTATTTCCAGTCTTTTTCCCCCTATCTCCCATATTCTGGCCAAGGGCGTGCCACTATTTATTTATTATTTATTTATTTATTAGACTTATATACCGCTTTAAGTGCAAGCACACTCTCTAAGCGGTGTACACCAGTAAGCAATGTATATATATATATATATATTTACACTGCCCCCAACAATCTGGGTCCTCATTTTACCTACCCCGGAAGGATGGAAGGCTGAGTCCACCTTGAGCCGGGTGAGATTTGAACCACTGACCTGCTGAACACAGTCAGCTAAAGTGGCCTGCAGTACTACACTCTAACTGCTGCGCCACCTCGCCACTGTATGGGTAGAGGCTGCTGTGCAACGCGCATGAAGATAAGCGATGCGTATTCACGTACGTACGGCGTTCTGTCCTGAAGCTAGCCGGAGGAACATTGGAAAACACAATTCAATCCACTAATAGCCAGCGATCTGATGTTTTCGTACGACAGATATACAGCCATTCACTGCACGAAAAAGTCTCAAAAGTGTCCCCAAAACTTCTCGCTCCATCGCCCCCCTGAAAAATGAAATCGCCCCCTGGGGGGCAATAACGCCCAGGTTAAGAACCACTGCTTTAGGGTAAGGAAGCGTTTAGTCATGATTCAGAGTTGGGGTGTGTGTTAAGAGATACCTGAGTCCTCCAGCTCCACCGGCCCCTCTCCTCAAGGGGACTCAGGTGAGGCAAAGGCAGCCGGTCCCACCGCTGGGCAGAGGGCCGCCCAGGGCTACAGACCCGGGACAGGAATTCGTCAAAGCAGCATTTTCCTGTGCAAACACGGCCAGCCATATTACTGCAGGCTGACCGGGCCGGGGACAAAGGACTGGGCTGCCGGCATAAAAGGGGATTTAGCTGGACGGACGGCGCTTTGTGAAAGGAAGAGGGGAAGTAGGAGCTGGGGGAACCGTGGGGCCTGGGAAGGCCGGCAGGGCACCGTGCCAACCTGCCGGCATCTGCCTTGGGACTCTGCTTCGCTGGGACACTTTTAAGCTGGACAGCCAGTGGCCTTGGCCAAGCCACGAGAGCTGGCACAGGTATTGCCCTGGGGGAGGAAAACACCCCCAGAGGGGAGGTCAAACTCCTTGGGGAAAGAGGAAGGAAATCCCTGCCAAACCAAGAGAGCTGAGGGTGCTCAGCGCTGCCCAAAAGCTCTTGAGGGGGCTGTTATGACCTCAGAAATCGTGCCATGCACGCACACACACACACACATACACACAGCCCCAACCTTGAGGAAAGGGGCCTAGTGCCCAGGATGGCAGAGGCCATTGTGTGTGGGGGGGGGTGAGGGGTGAGTCCTCAGATTTGGTCCTCAGCCTCCCCCCCCCCCGGGTGCAGCCGGCCTTAAATGCTGCTGGACTGGCTGCTGACCGCTCTCCATTTGAGGGCACGAGAGCTGGACTGGGCAGGCCTTCGACTCCCCTGAGGGGTTTCTGAGCCCCTCTCAAGCCAGGGGAGGGGGGTGCTTTGAAGGTATCTTGGGGGGGCTCATCTGTGGGGATGAAGCAACTCTGCCCCCCCCTGCCCCTGAATAAACCCAGCCGAGGTCCTTCTTGCATTGCCAAGACCTTTCCATTCCTCAGCCGGCCTTGGTCTTCCAGCAGCCTGCTTCCAGCCCCCACTTATGCCCCAAATCAAGGGAAGCTAAATTAGGGGCTGGCCGATCTAAATTAGGGGCTGGCCGACCTGCTAAGCAGCAGGAGCAGGAACAGTAACAAAATCCCCCCCCCCCAAAAAATCCAGGCTGCAGTTAGAAGCCCCGTTTGCCCATAATCCTGGCTAGCTGCACAAACAGACACTGGACGCCCGTTCTGGGATTGGTTACGCCCTCCTCTGGATCCCCAGCCAGGCCTGGCCGGAAAGAAAACACCCCCCTCCCTCTCTTCTCCCTGCCTTGCCTTCCCCCCCCCCCCATGACCAGTTGCACCTGTCACCAGAGCCTGGGCTGGATTGAAAACAGGGTCTATTTCAGACAAAGCCTTCCGTCGTCGTGGTGCAATGAGACCGAAGAGCGCAGGAAAAAATAGACCTCTGGATCACGATGGGGAGGGGAGGGGAAGGGCGGGGGCAAAAAGGAGAGCTGATCTCCCTTCTCCTTGCGCAGCCCCCCCCCCCGAGATGCCCACCTGCTCCCTGGGGAAGGAGAGCCGGGCTGCCAATCAAGCCCTCCGCCACTCAATGCCAAGAAGGCTGGCACAGGCATCGGCAAAGCCGCCGGGGCACAGTCATCCGGAGGACACGGGGGTCACTGCCGCAGCCTGGCCCGTCGCGGGGTCCCAGCTGGGCAGACACAGCCACCCCCTCAATTTGGGGGTGGAAAGAAACTCGTTCTTAGAGTAGGGTTTATCCAAGACACCCCGTTTTTCCGAGTTGCCCCGATGCACTGAATTGTAAAAACCAATCTCCCCAGGTGAGGGAGCGAAGGAGGCGAACCTTCCGCAATCTGCACAAGTCGTGTGAACGCGGCCACTTGTGTTCAGTTGACCTGCAGGTCTGGGGAAGCCAGGGATGGGTGCCTGGGAGGTGCCCTGGGCGAATACCGTGGGATGGGGAGGCAAGGATGCCTCTTTTCTGCCCCCCCCAGGCCCTCTCCCTAGCAGCTCCTCCCCACCCA